TTCAATCAACCTTAAACCCCCGTTTAATTACAAGTTTCATAAAAGAAAAATATTTTCTTTCCCCGTGGATATGAACCTTACTTCACTTTACTACATATAAGTGTTAAGTATTGATTTATTTTGAGACACATACGACTTTAGTGCCGTCAAATTTGGCGCCGTTGTCGGGAAAAGGCAATTATTTTTCTTTTAATTTAGAAAAATAAAAAAAATATAATTAATTAATAAAAGTATAAAGAGTTCTTACTTTTGTGTTTTCCGAGCTTACATGAGTATATGGTAAATACTCATTCTATAAACGAGATTATCTACCAATCAAATCCAGAAATAGAACAAGTCTTCGAGAGGTTAGAGAAATTTATTTCCAAACACCATCTTGAATGAATCATCAAAAAGCTAGCTCTAATTCTATGTTTGTGTATGTATGTACGTAGAAATATACTCTGTATATTATACTAAAGTTAATAATAATAATAATAATAATAATAATAATAATAATAATAATAATAAATAAATAAATAAAATAGCGATGTTTGATTATTAAGAGAATAGTTTTTTATTCACAACTTGCAACTATATTTAATCTGATGTGTTTGTGTGAACTATGTCCTACTTGTCTTAATAATCTGCTAGCTAGTAGATATTGATGGGGTTGGGAAACAGTAAATTAAATAGAAGCAGCGGTAGCAAACATACAAGATGGGGGAGCTCGAGCCTCCGCTTCAGCGTCCAACTCTGTTAAAAAGATAAAGAAGCAGCCGGTGCAATGGTGAAGTATTCCCGGGAGCCCAACAAATCGACAATCATACGAAGTCCTGCAAAGCTAGGGTCTCGGATCTAAGAGTTCATTTCAAGAACACAAGGGAATAAACTGCACATGCTATTAGGAAGCTGCCACTTACAAAGGCTAAAAGGTACCTGGAAGATGTTTTGATCCATAAACAGGTCATTCCCTTCACCCGTTTCTGTAGAGGAGTTGGCAGCAAAATCTGCCAAAGTGCCAAGTTCATTCTTGATCTACTTAAGAATGCGGAAAGCAATGCTGAGGTAAAAGGGCTTGATGTTGATTCGCTCTTCATCTCTCATATTCAGGTGAACCAAGCTCAAAAGCAAAGGCGGCGCACTTACCGTGCTCATGGGCGAATTAACCCTTATATGTCCTCGCCATGCCATATTGAGTAGTACGTTGATCTTGTCTGAAAAGGAGGAGCCTGTGAAAAAAGACCCAGAGTCACAAATTATTGCCACCAAAGCTAGGAAGGCATATACATTGCTTCAACGTTTTTTCTCTTATTCTAGTGATGTTTTTTAAATTAAAAGATATTTTGTGATGTGTAGAGGATTATTGTCACTAATAAAAATAAAAAAAATACAAGATGGGGGAACCCAAAGTAAAAATTATGACTGTGATCATGATAATAAAACCCAAAATATAGTTAATTAATAACACTATCAAAAAACACGGGATTAACAAGAATTTTGGTAGGGATTTTGGAAGAGATTGTGCGAAATCCGTGCCAAAAACACTTTGGATCAAGCTATTTGGCACGAAAAGTCAGTAATCCGTGCCAAATTCCGTGTCAATCCCGTTTTTTTATTGTGTAAGCCAACTTAGGTTTAAGTGAAATGTATAAAGTTTTTTATACAACACGCTGCAAAAAAATTACGTGATTGGTATGGATTTGACACATCGTTGTCGAATCTTTCATGAATTTTTTCGAATCACTATAAATTATCCCAGTCAGTCCCGTATATTTTGTAGTGGTATAATGTTTGTTATTATGGCTCTACATACAATGCATTAGGCTAGACCGTTTGAAATTAAAATTTGCCACTCATTATATATGTGTATTTCTTCAATTCATAGTCTAAAAAATAACGTCTTTTCTGAAATCATAATAACTTTTTATTTCAAAGCATATCGCTTAATAAAATTGATTAAAAGTGATATTATCTTAGAGATCATAATCCACTATCTTAGTTATTTTATCTTAGAGATCAAATCATAATTTCACTTTTGACGTATGAGTTTTGTGTCAATTTCATATTTAATACACGTTTTTCATTTTGTCCATTGTTGTTGGTACATGACTAATGTTAACTACCAGAAACATTGACGGAAAGACCAAATATGAGCGAAAACACAATAGTCATATACCAAAAGTGATCAAAATCAAAGACATGGATCAATTGTGATATTGGCGCGATATTAAATTCGTAGGACCAAATTAAATGCTGAATAAATTCTTGAAAATAGTAATAGTGACATTTAACAAACATAAACAGATAAAACAAATGTTTTTTGGACAAGCAAATAACCAAATATTAATAATTAAATATCAAAACAATTTAGAAAATAGAGTTCATTAATTTGGCCTAGAAAAAAAAACTAACAACAATAATTAATAGAAGATCCATTTTTAAAATTTTGCCTAATGATACTGCCCTTGTCCTCATTTCTTTAGTTTTTCCGTCGTTCCCTATCTTCTCTTTTTTGTCTATGATCATGAACCGACCAATTGAGTATCACACCAAGCACCTATTGATTTGATGATACCATGATTGTGACACTCAAGACGATACCATGATTGTGACACTCAAGAAAGAGGTCACATGTTCGAAACTTATCCCAATTAAGAAATTTTAGTATTTAACATATATTGAACTGATTTAAAAAAATACATATATTGAACTGATAGTGATACTGAAAAAGACTATGAAGTCCAACTAAAATAACTAGGCATCAGACTTTCAATTTTTTGTTCTCCACGGCCCAATTAATTCTTTTAGCAGCCACATAATGGGTCAAATGTTAAAACTCTAAGATCAACTAATCTTACATGGAGTATAACCGTTCCAATAAAGGTTTCCCAAAGTTTGATTGGATGGGCTCCTCATGATCCTCTCTGTCACGTCCCGGACCTACCCGGACACGTCAACAACCCGCCGTACAACACGAATAGTCAACCATAGTCAACCACATCCATATTATACAAGGCGTCATGAATATCATTCACACATAAGTCATCCATAAACATACATAATAAACAATTCAATACGCAGCGGAAAACATAGTTTGAAATCAAATGCCACACAGGGCTAACATGAGCATGCAGGCTCTAAAGTAAAATATCCATGAGCATGTTTATTAATGTTGTAAAATAGAGTGGAGGAAGCACGAACCAAGTCTTCTCTCCGAGGAATCACTCGATCAACAAGCACAGGATGCAAGCTCTAGCCTCAACCTGAAATGGTGGTGGGACGCCCCCGAAGGGGTCAGTACTCTATAGGGCTATAAAGTACTGGTGTGGATGGCATCTAATAGATATACAACAAGTATTTCAAACACAAGACCCTCAAATAGGGTGATAGTACAATATGGTTGTAACCCTAAGTTACCCCGTTTGAAAATATACTTTATATAAAAGTCAAGTAGTCGGCCTGTGGGCCCATGTTCATTTAGAAATCACCATTCCCATTCCTTGTGACTATAAGCCACGACAACTCATAGAGTCCAACCCTAACACATGACATTGTATTCTAGAGCTCGGCTCTATCACATCACTATACAATTCATGTCACTTGGGTCAATTTCCTTACCTTGCATTCTAGAGCTCGGCTCTATCACATCACCACGCAAGCCCTAGAGCTCGTCTCTAGTTATACCATACATAGACTACGAGTCTACCACCTTACCATGCATCCTAGAGCTCGACTCTATTACATCATCATGCACTAAAGTCCAATTCCTAAGCAAACCTATACCTAGTTTCATACTAAGTTATTATGTACACTTGAAGTATAGTCAAGTGCATTTCATACAATCCAATCCTTAAGATCAATTCTATCAACAATTCTCAATAATCACTAACTAGTATTTCAATACTATTAAGATTATTGTTATCATACAAATATTCCCATTTTGTAATTCTCTACATATTTATAAGTATGTAGCAGAAACTTAAGTATTCAATCTCAATACATAAATATTCATTTATGTATCCACATAATTCATACATGAGTAAAATGCCTATTTCACAAAATAGTTCATTCATAACTCATTTAACCTCATGTTATTCATACATCCTCAAATCATTTCCAATTTCATTCTTTGGGCAACCATATCAATATCTCATCAATATTTAATCATCATAATCCATGAAAAATTATGATTTTGGCATTTAGGTAATCTCATGCTTAACCTACAAGTTGTAAGCAATTAGATGTCGATCCTCACCTCAAATGAGCTTTAAAACCTTCCTTCTCGATCCAACGAACAAAGCCTCAGCCAAGGAGGTTTGAGAACTGATTCTTTTCTTAGAAATTAGTGTTAAACAGCCTCCTCAAAGTGCTAGTTCAACCCTTAATCGTTGGTACGAAAACAGCCCCTAGATCGAATGGGTGTTTTCCGGCCACTACAAAAAAACACGGTGTTAGTCACGGATTTAGTCACGGACCGTAGTATAAAAAATCCGTGACTAACTCTGCTAGTCACGGACTTTGTCCGTGACTAAATCCGTGACTGTTTGGGCGTGACTAATTCTAGTCACGGTCATCTTATCCGTGACTGAGCGTAGTCACGGCTTAGTCACGGACCATTTCCGTGACTAACTTGTCACCGGAATAACCACACCGGCGACTTAGTCACGGCCCTTTCCGTGACTACATATAGTCACGGACTAAATCCGTGACTAAATTTTCAAATTTAAAAAAATTAACCGCCGAATGTTACTGTTTAAATTTTCAAATTTCAAATTTTAGTCACGGACTTGATCCGTGACTACTTTTTTATTTTTTTAAAAAAAAAATTAAATTTACAAAATAACTTTTTTAAAAATCGGTCTACAATTTAGTCACGGCTCGGATCCGTGACTAAAGTTTTTTATTTTTTAAATTTTTTTTTTTTTTTTATAAAAAAAATAATTTTTTTTTTAATTATTCTTTAGAAAAGTTTATTTTAAAAAATATTTGCATTCATAAAAGTAATAAACAGACTACTAGAACCCACTAGAACACACATTTCATAACCAAACAGACTGAAATAAAAGTAATAATAAGCACAATAGAATTATAGTAAATAAACAATGTTCAAATAAAAATGTATACTTTACAAGCTCCTTCGGCCACCATTATGATAATATCTAGAATCATCATATAGATAATCTTCTTCGGTCTCATCTTCTCGGTTGTCTCCAGCTTGGCCACCGCGACTGCCTCCTCCGCGACTGCCACCTCCGCGACTGCCACCTCCTTGGCTGCCTCCAGATGTTTGAAACAGGTTGTGAAAATTGATATCCTGAATAGATCCAAATGAAGGCAACCCGGTAGCAGAGTTGTTACGGAAATAACCGCCCATGTGCGGAACTTGAGGTGTCTGCTCAGGGTGCAGTACATACGGCTGAGGCTGAGGCTGATTCCGAATTCCGGCGCTGAGGATCCGTTCCATCTCTTCCAGCCGGGCCCTTGTTTCTTCATCTTTTTTGCGTTGCTCCTCCAAGGTGCGCTGCTGCTCAGCCAAGGCCCGCTGCTGCTCCTCCATCTCCCGCTGCATTTGAGCGATACGCGGATCCTCTCCGCGCCTTGATCGGGAAGATGAAGCACCGCTGCGGTCGTACAAGATCCGTTGCCCCTCAGCCCCCATGCACGGGACCCGGCCCTTGTAGACCCCAACTGCCTCAAAGATGGCATCATCCTCCACATCAGAATCAATCTCATCCTCCTGAGTCAAGCCTAATTGTGCCCGCCTCTTGTCAACATTTGTGTTATACTTTGACTACATGTACAAAAATTGTTAATTTAATGTTACTCAATTTGATTTTGAATGGAAATAAGTAACAAAATAGTGTTACTTACTTCGATTTCAGCGAGGCGGGGTGGCAGATCGGCATCGGACTCATCGCCGTGCTTTGTCCAGCAGTGCTTGATGACCTTGAGAATTGAGACCTTCTTCTTCTCAGGCCCCGACTACAGTTTGGAAAAAAGGCTTAAGATCCATAATTAATTGTTAAAATAAAGGGTTGTAATTGTGTAAGGTTTTTTGAAAAATACTTACAAGATCTTCTTTATGTCTACTCTGAGGTTTGCGGCCCCCATGCCATTGGGTTTCTAAAGCCTTCTCGGACATCCGGTTTTTCTTACCGGATTGACTTCTTGCCAAGAAGTTTGGATCAGAAGACCAGTGACGGACGAGGTTATCCCACACCTCATCCGAACACCATCCAGGCTTTACCCCACTCTTTCGGGCACGCTTAAAAGTAGGACGAAGCCAGTTTGAAATCCTAGCGTTATACGCTCTAAGAATAGCGGGACCTTGGGCTTCAGTCCATCGAAACCGACCCTTTATAAAAAACAAATAAATTAATTTATCTTTTATCAAATGTTACGTTAATACAATTACGCAGAGAAAATTCATTTTTTTTACCTTGAAAAGGTTCCACCAAAGTTCACGAACCTTGGGGTCAACTTCCGTGTATGTTGCCCAGTTCCCAAGAAAGTGTCCTCCGATTATTAGTTTGATTTGGTCCAACACTTCTTGATCGCTTCAGAAAATTAATATTATTTATTATAAAAGTTTTGATAACATTATGATACATTGAAAAAATTATTTCACGTTAGATAAAATTCATAGTTACTTCGCAACCATGTGGGGCGTCACCCAAAGCGCATTTTCATTGTTGCGCTCAGCTTCGGTTAAGGGCACATAGTTTGGGCGGGGACGCGAGGTTGATTGTTCATTGCTCATCTAAAATATATTAATTTATATTTTTAAATGTTAGTGTAGTTATAATAAACGTGTATAACATATTAAACTGTGTATAAGTCTAATATGAGAAGTCGATATTTTTTCAATTAATTTTTTTATAACTTTGAGATCTAATAACAGTTTTATAAAAAAACAGTTTTGTAAAAACAGTTTTATAAACCGTTTTACAAAAAATTGTTTTATAAAACAGTTTTATATAAAAACAAATTTGTATAAACTGTTTTATACACGGTTTTATTTATAAAAAGTTTTATAAAAAACAGTTTTATAAATTATACAAACTGTTTTATAAATACAGTATAATATTTAAAATACCATTGTTATATTTTTTATGTCAATTTTAATAAAAAAAATATTTATTAGTACACCTCATTTTTAGTAAACTTCATAAAACCGGTTAATTAAACTGCTTATTAATCACTTTTTATTAAAATCTGTTTTAATTAAACTGTTTTTTATTAAATTGGTTTTTATCAAACTGTTTTTTATTTAATTGATTTTTATCAAACTGTTTTTTTTATTAAACTGTTTTTTATAGAACAGTTTTTTATTAAACTGTTTAATACAAAAACAATATATTATTAAACTTTTTTTAAAATCTATATTTTACAATTTATTTCGGAAAACAGTTTTTAATGTCTAAATAATTATTTTATAGTTAACATGTCAAATTTTTTTGGAAGTTTGACATGAGGGGGTATTTTTTAAATAATTCGGAAATAATAAATTTGATTAATGATAAAATAATAATAATCCTAACAATGTCTAAATAATTCATGCATAAGTCCGAAATTAAATCATGTTTAACCTAAAATCAAATAATATTTAGGCATGCATATTAAACTTGTACAAAAAAAATAAAATTGAATCAAACTATATCTAAAGCATGTGTATTACAAATCAAACAAAAAAGAAAAAATATATTTTATCATCTTTGAGCATGCAAATTAATATTGTAATTCGAAATTAAAACAAAACTAATAAAAGGAAGAGATTAATATTGAGCATGCAAATTAATATTGTAATGTGAAATTAATATTGTAATCCGAACATAATAATAACATGCATTTGTGTGTATAAACGTAACAACATATACACATATAATCATATTAAATTAAATGTATATACACATAAATATGTAGTTGTAGAATAAATCATTAGGGCATTCAATGTTCAATAATGCATAGGAGCATATAAACATGCATTTGAGTACATAAACATGCATTTGTGAGTAAAAAATTAATTGAGAAAACATAACCTTGATGTGGAGAGAGGTGCGAAAAAAGAGGAGTGGTGGACGACGGCAGCGGACGGCGGCAACCGGCGGCGGACAACGGCAGTGCACGGAGGACAGCGGCGGCGCTGGACTCTGGACGACGGCGGCGGCGGGGTCCGTGGAAGAGTCGACGAGAGAGTAAGTAGGGAGGTGAAGAGAGAGTATTAGGGTTGGAGACGTGGAATGAAAAAATTCGTTAAGTGTTGATTTTATATATCGGCGTAGTCACGGTCTTAGTCACGGATATATCCGTGACTAAACCCTTTGTAATCAACGAAATCAGCCACGCGGCATCAGCCGCCTTTGACCGGTTTAGTCACGGTTTTATCCGTGACTAAGACCGTGTCTAATTCAAATTTTGAATTTAGTCACGGTTCTAGTCACGGTTAAAACCGTGACTAAACCGGCGGCCCTGACACTTCTCCGGCTGCCAGACTGACATGTTAGTCACGGAATTATCCGTGACTAAGACCGTGACAACGTGAAATTTTTTAGTATAAATCATCTTTCTCCGGCCATAGACAGAACTGTAAAAAAAATGGCTAATAGAGGTCCAATTGACTGGGATTCGATGTGTAGAGATATGAAACGACTTAAGCTGATTACAGAGCTTATGGAGCCGAAAACCGTGGAAGCATACGAGAGAATCAAGGAGTTGATGTCTAGACCCCTTGAAAGTTTTGGCGATTATAAAGATGAAGAATCCGACTCGTTGGGCAAGTCAAAAGCAAGAAATTTGTGTCGGATGCTTCAACGTGCACAAGAAGTTTCAGAGTATATGGACCCGATCAACGAAGAAGCTCGAATGAAAATTCAGGAGTTGTGGGGATTGTAAGGAGTTAACATGACCGGCCAACATGAATAGTTCTTGCCAAACCTGCCAAAAGGAGCAAATCCATCTGAGCACAATCCCAGCCGCACATTTCGTGGCTCCATAGCAAACTGAGGACGACAGCGGTCAAAGTGTCTCCAGGCTTCACAGTCCGAAGGGTGAGCCATCATACCCTCGTTGGTTTCGTGCTCAACATGCCATGTCATGTGTTTCGCAGTAGCAGTCGAAGCGTACATCCTCTGCAGTCGAGGAGCTATTGGGAGGTAATACAGTTTAGACAGTGCAGACCTATGTCGTGGTTTCTTTTTACCTTGACGAACAGGTTTGTATCTGTCTCCACCACAGAACTTGCAGAACTCAAGTGCCTCATCCTCCTTCCAGAACAACATACATCCTTCCGGACACGCATCAATTTCAACACAAGGTAGCCCCAACTTAGACATTAACTGCTTCATGTGGTAATATGAATCTGGAAGGGTATGATCTCGCGGTAGCATCCCTCCTACTGACTGCAAGACTCTATTCATGCAAGTTTCAGGGAGACTGTATTCGGCTTTTATGTTCATGAATTCAGTAACGGCGGATAGCTGAGAGTATCCCTCACAATCAGCATACAGAGGTTGGTCGGCAGCTTTTAGAACATCCTGAAATCTCTCAGTCAAACCTTCATCCACATAAAGGTTGATACGAGGTTGAGGCTTCAGGGGGGTCGTTAGGTGGTTGTGGGGGATTGAACTGAGACATCGGTACACCGTATGCGTCATATACCATTTGTTGGTCCCACCTCATTTCAGCACGGTCTCCCCACGCACTCATCTCTGGAGGGACGTAACGAGACGAACCTACCGTTTGTGGTATAACAGATGGATCCAAAGGTTCGCCGTGAGAAGTCCAATTATAATAATTGGGAACAAAACCGACCGCGTACAAATCATATCCAACTTCGTGTGGGTCTTTAAATTTGAGATTTTTACACTTTGAACATGGACATCTTATTTTATCACCACTCATATAAGCCGGATGTTCAAGTGCAAATTCAATAAATTCCCCGACTCCCTCGAGAAAATTTGATTGCATTCCGTACAATACCGCATCTTTATCATACATCCAACTTCTATTTTGTTTATACATTATGCCTGAATATTATAATAAAAAAGTATACACGTTCAAATACTAACAATAATACTAACAAATTTTAAGTGAGTTATTTCACTAAATAATCAACTAACTAATTTTCACTAAATTAAATGAAATGCACACAATTCACAACAATAATTCACAAAATATAAGTAATTACCTAATACTTAAATTTAACTAATATTACAAAAAAATTAAGTAATTTATTAACACTACATTTAAATTAAACATACGTTTAACTAAATTTAACTAATTTATTTAGTTAAATTTAACTAAATTTAACTAGTTCATTCCGTCCTCTTTTAATGCATCACTACGTTTAAACCTACGTTTAGCTAACGAATTTTAATTAAATTATTTTTGTAAACCTACATTTAAACCTAAACTAAATTATTACGTTAATGACATTTAATGTTATTAGTACTACACAATTAACAATTCCAATTCACTAAATTAAATAATATGACCAAATTAAACCCAATAATTTGAACATGTATATAAGGTCATTTGAATTAATAAATAATACACAATTACAATAACAAGTCACAATACACTTAATTAACACATTACTAACGTACGTTTAACTAACTAATTTCAATTAACATAAAGATCACTACGTTTAAAACTACGTTTAGCTAACTAATTTTAATTAAATTATTTTATAAACCTAACAGTTTAACTAATTTTATGAAATTACTACGCTTACAGTTGAATATGTTGTTAATTAATTAACAACATCACTAATTTAATAGTTTTAATAATTTAAATTGAACCAACTAATTCTGAATAAAAATAATAATTCAAATAACATACCTTAACTGCATAAATGGGGAAAATGATAGAAGACAGACTACATCCTTCGATCTTTCAAACAGATACTGTATATACTGGGAATGAATTGGTGTGGTTCTGTTGAATGAACTGCTCCTGCATATATAAAAAATTTAGTCACGGACTTAGTCACGGATTTGTCCGTCACTAAGCAATACCGTGTCCATTACGCGTCCGATCCGTGTTAATGACGTGTAAATGACGTGTAAATCAAAGTAGTCACGGACATAGTCACGGACATGTCCGTGACTAAATTTATCCGTACATAATACCGTTGCGGATTGATTTATGGGAGATGCAAAATTATTTTTTAAATTTAGTCACGGCTGTAGTCACGGATGTGGCCGTGACTATGTCGCCGGAGTAAAACAAGCCAGGCCGGAAAATCAAACGGGCAATCGGAGGATGTTAGTCACGGACAAAAATCCGTGACTACGTGTAGTCACGGCTCTAGTCACGGTAAAATCCGTGACTAATTTTTTTTTTAAATTTTCGTGACTAGTCCGTGACTAGTCCGTGACTAGGCTAGTCACGGACCAAATCCGTGACTACGGTCCGTGACTAAACGAGTGTTTTTTTGTAGTGGGCTAACTCGTTTCCTAGTTTTCCAAGATTTGCTCTAGGTTAGTATCTAACCTTTACACCAATAAAATAACTTTGTAAGGACATATTATACACTTGGAGTAGTGTATAATAGTTCCACCAATAGTTCATATCAATTGGAAAATGGAAGGAAAGGTTTTGGGGTTAAAACTCACTTTAGGAGAGTAAATCCGTTTCTGTGAGGTTGTGTTTTGCTCGAACGATTTGGAAGCCTTCCACTACTTCGATTGATGCAAACCAGACCTTCACGGATTCCTAGTCTTGAGAGATTTCTTTTGGTATCTTATACGACTTATTTGGACGAGTGAAGCTCAAGTTATGGATCAAACAAGCAACTCTATCTACTGGAATACGAACCTGCGGCCAGCTTCTTTCTTCACCTCTCTCTTGAAGTGTGTGGCTCTCTCCTTCCCTATTATCTCAAATGGTTCGAATGGGGTGTTGGGGGAGTGTATAGGAGACCTCAATCATGCTAAGAGAGCATGTGGTTCACAAAAAAGAAAGGTAGGATGTTTGATTGCACTCAAACATGGGGTGGACCTCCTCTTTTATTTCCTTTTTGTAATGTTGTATCTCTTAAGTCAAAAGTCCGCCCCACATAGTTGTCTCACCCATTCTTCTTTGTTTTTCAGGTACTAAGGTCATGTGGAGTGGTTCCCAATTGATCCCATTGGGGTCCAAAACATCTACCAATACTTCCAAAAAAAATGGGAAGATGGGTCCTAATGTTTTATCTTTTGCTAAAAGATGTCTTTTTGTACTCATCCTAATTTATTTAGAACAAGTCAACTTCCTACATCACATTATTGTTCTCCAATATGTGTAGGCTCATCCCAATAATTTATGTGATGAAAATTATAGAAGAAACCTATTCCCATTATTTAGCTCAAAAATGTCAAAGATGGGGCCATAGGCATTTCTATTATTCTCTAATCATTTCAACACTTATTCATGGCATTATTATTCACATTGTTGACCTACAAGCCGTGTGGGTCACCCTCGAGTGGGTCTAGGACGCCATTCTTGAATACTTACTATTTTAGCAGGTTGGACCCAAAATAATGTTTGGGCCGCCCAACCTTCCTCAACTTGTCTTGAAAGGTTATGTATCATTATTTGGGTAAAGTTGGGCTCTTATATTCATTAATAAGGCCCAGATAAGTATTTGCAAACCCGACACTAATATACGAGTTTGAACAGTACAATAATCAATCATGTGCTACGTAAAACATTAATCGTTTTACAATTGTTTGGAAATCGGAAATTCAATACATAGACAATTCAATTTTTAAATTGAATTTTCAAGGACGTTTGGGTGCGGTGTCACACTCTCCTCCGCCAGATATAATAATAGAAGGGTGATCCAACTGAGCATTCCAGTATGTTGGGTGCAAGGTTATCGTGTCTAGCTAAGGTCTCGGGTTCAAAACCCGCTAGGCACATTTAGGGGAGAGCAGGGAGGTCTTGCTCCCAATGATTCTTCCTACCTTCACGGAGTTGCTCAACGGCGGCTAAGAAGGGAGGGGTTGGAATTTCAAGCTCGAGTTCACGTGGTGGGAGGACCCTGATGGATTCAGTTGACAGGCTAAAGAACTCTTTTGCATTTAGTTGATTGGAAGTCCTGCTGGATTCGTCTTATAGTACCAGTTCCGATGAGGGTGACTGTTATCATATCCAGATTTACCTGTCAAGAGGCTTTGGAGGGTAGTCTATAGACTCTAGGATTAGGGGACCGCAAGCACCGACACCTGGATCACCCAAAAAAAATAGAAGGGTGATCCATCTATTAGTAAATAATGCGTAGTATAAATAAATAATAATATATGTAGCTCATTCAAAATAAAAAGGGGAAATTGTTAATACAGGAGTAAAAACGGTGTGAAATTTAACAATAAAACTGTTATTTTAAGTTTGTTAATACTTTAAAAATATGACAATCCTTTTTTTTTTACAAAACTTCCTAACCTATTATAGTATTTGTTCTATGTTAATACTAACATCCTTGAATTAGGAGGTTATTCCATCAGACCACAATGTACTTGACTATGATAATTTTTTTTAAAGGAATAACTGCTTATATTAATATCATAATTATTCAGATCGTTACATCAAACTCCCAAAATACCAACACTGACAACAACTATTTGTAACCAACTATCACTATCAACCCTAAGGCTAGACATAGAAACGATCACCCCTGAAAGAGCAATATGAATCGCTAACCACCAAACAGGTGTGACACAATAATCACTGGCCATATAGATCCTTCTAATGACATAATACGTAGCAGACTTGTCAATCATTTTGTAGACCTAAAATTAAAGACATCAACAAAAAAAAGGAAACATAATCAAAAGTAATGCGAAAATAAGACCATAAGACATAAAATAACAGATAAAAACAAACTCCTTCCTGCCAATTTTCATGAAACATGATCTTCCAAGTCCTGACACCTCGATCGCTCCGAGGCGGCGGTTCAGGAGGGGGGCAGATCGTCGGTCTGTCTTCACCCTTGTTCAGCCCTTTACCGCTTCTTGTCTGCTCGTCGCTCGTGCCGCCTTCTAATATGCCTTTGCCCGTGACAATCTCTAGATTGTGGCGTTGATCCACCAACTCCTCCATTAGACTAACGTAGAAAGCTTCGATGCACGTCGTCTCTTAGAAATCCTTGAAGACCCAACCCTTTCTTGCTTGTATATCACACTCTTCCCTGCGCTCGTCGAAGCACAGGGAGAGAAAACAAAATGCGCGCTAGGACGGTGCTCCATCGCTTGCACCTTGGCGAGAAACCCTAACTCGCACATAGGCGAGAAAAACCTCTGCTCCTCACTTCGTTGGAAGCCTCGCTTCCTAAAACTTCAGCAGTTCCACTACTAGAAAAAGGGTGTTTAACAATGAAAAATGTCTTCGTTATAAGCCCAAAAGTTCGTCGTTAATTCTTTTAATGACCAATTTTATTTCATCGTCAAGTTGTTGTTATAGCTTCCGTCGTTATTGGTTTTCACGAAAAAGTTCGTCGTTAATATTTAACGACGGCACACCGTTTCGTCGTTATGTAATAACGACAAAAACATCAACCGTTGTTAAAAATTAACGACGACACATGATCTCATCATTAATTATTAACGACGAGAACATTTTTTTTCTATCATCAAAGACGAGAACATGAATCATCACATTATATCGACAACATGTAAATCTTTTAAGCCTATAACGACCATCATTATTACTATTATTATTATTATTATTATTATTATTATTATTACTATTATTATTATTATTATTATTATTATTATTATTATTATTATTATTATTATTATTATTATTATTATTACTCCGTATTATTATTATTGGCGTTTTATTTTATTTTATATACAATTCATTACATCATTGATTATCCAAAAACACATGAATGAAATAGAGTACTTATGCATTCTGTAACCCATATACGAAGTATAACAAACTTAAAATCTTCCAATAAATTGTACCATCAAAAAATATATGTCAAATAACACAATTATTGAAAGTTGACACAATAAATACTAGTAATCATTCTCATAAATAAAATCTCAATACATGATTGTAAACATACACATGTATCATTAGCTATATATATGAAAAAACAAATACTAAATTACAAGTAAAGTAGCAACTCGACAACACTGCTGCAACTTCTGCTGCAACTTCTAATGCAACTTCTCATCTTTGAGAACCTACAAAAAAGAACATAGAATTCAGATTTTCTAGTAAAATAATAAATGCTTATTAGAGAAACAAAATACTTCCTAAACAAAGTTACACGTAGTATTTCCCAATTGCAGTAGGTCACTTATGATTTGGCAAATTCCATTCTTCAATTATGCATCACTTAGGCTAAGGTATTAATCCGGAAGTGGGACTTAAATATTAACTAGCTAGGAACTGATCTGGCATTTAAATTTAGCATTTTAATACTAAAATCCATTCATAAACAATGCTGAGTGGGCATACATTAAAAGGGTCTAACCTGGCAGCAATGGATTCGACATAATCTGACACCTCCTCAATTCTACCTAAAGTCATAATTGATGGCATTAAAAGGATTTCCATGCTTCAATTTTCAGTTGGTGTTATCACATTTTCTATCATCAGACTTGATGAGGGTGTATTTGCATTCAATCCTGTTCCTGATCGAGAAGCTTTGGCAGTGTTATGACTGTTAGAAGAAAGTAGTTTATGAGTATTGTATTTAGGTGATTGTGTGTGGAAGAGAGAATTTTAGAGAGAGATGATTTTGGAAGAACTTGAAACTTTTATTGATTTGGAGCTTTGGCTTGTGTTACAAATGAGTGAGGAGTGCTCTATTTATAGGTCTCATAGGATCCTTCTAGGCACTTGATACACTTGTAATTTCCGTGTGTATGTTTACGTTTTTAGCTAGTTTTGGTTGTTTAGTATTTCGGAAATTACACATTTTTGGTGTAATAGTTTAGTTTGTTGAATTCTTGTAATTTGTTTAGATTAGGGTCATTCTGAGCTCAAACAGGTCTACCATCACTCAAAGGACAGTTGGTGAACCCCAAAAGTGGAAGGAAGGTGCAAAATCACAAGACAAAAGGGAAAATCCTGATTTTGGTCTATACTCGGTCGAGTATTACCTATACTCGATCGAGTATAAGGTTGAAACTTCAAATCGGATCGGATCCGAAGACAAAGGAACATGCCGGGAAGATTTTGGCCACGATTTAGTGTCTATACTCGATCGGGTAGACCGACATACCCGATCGAGTATGCGTTTGAGTTTAAACCCGAAATCGGTCGAGTATGGCTCGAATATCACTTTCTGCACATACTCGACCGAGTATGAACATATACTCGATCGAGTATACCTCGAATCTGGTATTTCTGCACATACTCGATCGAGTATCTGTATATACTCGATCGAGTACCCGAGCTGCACTCCCAAAAAAACCTATAAATACACCCCCTTTCCTTCACAACAAAAAACCAATTCCTATATACTCTTAAGCTCAGTTTAGAATAGCATTTCTCTATATTTCTTTTAGCATGTTTAGTCTCCAAATGAGGAGCTAAACTTCCATTTCTTGGTATTGCTCTTGAAGCTTGTTGATTATTAAAGTTGTGAGTTATTTTCTTAACTTCTTTTCCTTGAATATTAATTCTTCCTTTAAATACTATTTCTATATCAATGTTGGGGAGTGTTACTAAGATGACAATTAGTTAACATCTTGACATTGGTTTTAGTAATAGCTATTCCTTCCTCTATGTTAATATCGGGGAGTGTTACTAAGATGACAATTAGTTAACATCTTGATATTTAACTATAGTAGGATTCATTCCCTTTAATATTCTTCCTTGAGTATTAATTAATTCCTATTCATATTTCATATTAATATTTTGAACATTACTTAAAGGATCAACTAG